GACTAAGTATTAAAAAAACTAAGATCGTGTCATCCAGCCCTGTTACTGGATGGCAGATGGAAGGGGAAAAGGTGGAAGTAGTGACAGATTTCCTCTTCTTGGGCTCTAAAATCTCTGTGGATGGTGACTGCAGCCTTGAAAACAGAAGATGATTGCTTCTTGGCAGGAAAGCAATGACAAACCCAGACAGTATTTTTTTTTTTTTAAGAAGTTGAATATTTTATTATTAAATTGTTTATTCTCTTGCAAGGCTGTTGCTTCACTGTATAAAAATCGCACCAGCAAACATAGTATAATGCAAAATTAAGACAGTAATATTCTTCACTGGACACTATACAACTAACAAACTTTTCTCCATTGGCAGTTATTTCTAGTGGGAAGATCATTTTGACCCAAATCCAAGGATAGCTGTAAGCAAGTTATAATGCAAACCTAGACAGTATTTTGAAAAGCAGAGACATTATTTTGCTGACCAAGGTTGATATAGTCGAGGGTATGGTCTTCCCAGTAGGCGCGTACGGTTGTGAGAGCTGGACCATAAAGAAGGCGGAGCACAGAAGAATTGACGCCTTCGAGCTGTGGTGCTGGAGAAGACTCCTGAGAGTCCCTTGGACAGCAGGAGATCAAAGCAGTCAATCTTAAGGGAGATCAACCCTGAATATTCACTGTAACGACTGATGCTGAAGCTCCAGTATTTTGGTCATCTGATGTGCACAGACAAATAATTGGAAAATTCCCTGATGCTGGGAAAGATCAAGGGCAGAAGGAGAAGAGGGCATCAGAGGTTGAGATGGCTGGATGGCATCACCAGTGCAACGAACATGAACTTGGGCACACTTTGGGAGATGGTGAGAGACAGGGAGGCCTGGCGTGCTGCAGTCCATGGGGCTGCAAAGAGTTGGACTCAGCTGGGTGACTGAACAGCAGCAACGACTGTACAGGCCAGTAGATGGTAATTGTTTGCTAAACCTCGAGCATTCCTGCCAGTCACAAGTTATCCGTTATTAACAATCATGTTGCTATTCCATGGTCTGAGTAGAAAATACGTATCTTAAGAGACTATATATATATATATATGTCATTTTAATTGCTTTGAAGAAATAGAATGATTTATTTTAAAATGTCAAATATAATTGAGGTCAGGCATTAAATTTTAATTTTTATCAGATGAGAGAAATGAGGTGAGGGTATGGTAAAACAGGTGGTGTTCATGCATGGTGCATAATTATGAAGGGATGCAATTTTGGATAACATTTTTAATACATGTTTTGAAATCTTAAAAAGATTCACATTGATTTACATAGTAATTCCATTCTGAGAATCTCCAAAGGAGATAATTTAAAATATGAAAATAGAGATATGTGTTACAGAATTATTTATAACTGCACAAAAACTTGGAAAAAATCTAAACATATCAGAGTAATATTTAAGGAAACCAGTGATCCATTTACACAAAGAAATCTTATTTAACTATAAAATGTTCAAGTGTCTGTAATATAGGAAAATACTTTTGTACTGTTATTTAAATAAAAGCAGTTTACAGAATTATCTATCATTTTAAAGACTAGCAGGCAAGTTGGAAAATATTAATTTTGGTGTTTTTTTATAATTATAGGATTATTGTTTTACCCTTGTCTTTATATGTGTTCCCCATATTTTTTTTTATAATGAAGAAATAGCAGACATAAATCAATATGTTGATGTTTAACAAGGGTTGAGGTGAGATACTATAACCAGGCACTCTCAAGGAATTCAGTGGCAACATTTGATAGGGATAGGAAATTTGTTTATAAATAGATTCAGAATAGTGATTCCAAGTTAAGAAACTCTTAAAGGAATCAATGCTGAACCCATTATTCAGATTATGGTTTTGTAAATCACCTCAAGGGAGGAGTACACTGTGATCCTTCAAATTTTGAATCCCTTTTAGGTATGAAATCCAACGGAATTGGTATTAACTATATGAAAATTTTTGAAAGACTGTATGAGTGGGCAGGAATGTGATTAAGTGATAGCCACTTGGCTAGATGTGAGTTGGATGGTATGCACTGAAGATTGTTCACTGGATAGTTATTTGCCCTGATGAATTGTATTCTGAACTACAGAATTTAGCAAAAATTATAAACAAATTCTTATGTTTGTAATTTTAGTGGGTAATACGGAATCCAAGATATTTGGATTTGGTCTGACCCTTTGAGGTTTGTATAAAGGAGAAGACTGTTTCTGTGTTTCTGGTTTGCTGCAGTACTGCTCTGGATGGGCTTGGGGTCAGATTCCCTGAGACAGTTCTTGTGTTCCCAAGGGCGTGTTATTTTCTGTGTGAGGAGTCTTGTCATAGATACATAAAAACAAATAGCACCCCTTGAGATGTATCTAAAAATAAGATACTTAGTTTTGTAAAAAGTATAGCAATAAATTCTAAGTATATGATCAAGGTAAGGCAACAGTAAGGAGGGAAAGGGTTTGGGGAGAACTGCTGAAATGTTACTTTTTAAATTAAATGAGATGATTATATTCAGTAAGCCTTTTGAGAAACAGTTTTGGTTACAGTGAGAAGCATTCCCAGATGCTAGTCTTGATGATTTTTTTCACTGTTCTCCATTGAAATAAAAATACCAGAACATTGTGGAGAGTGTGGTTTTCATAGTGCTACTATATTTCACTGACTTAAAGATGTAGATTTCCCCAGATTTTAATATTTCTGAAATTGAAATGTGTTTTGCAGTCAGTGGCATCTTTAAATCATTGTCTGTTGTGAAATGGTTATCCCTGCCTACATATATATACCCAAACTCAATAATTAATCCTGTTGGTATGACTAGATAATGCAACCCATTGGTGTTTCAGGTAACATATCTTTTAAGGAAGAGATGAACATGCCTGTGTTGTCTTCCGAAACCTGTTGCACTTTCTGGTGATACCTTTTGGTTTGGTAACATCAGGAAAGGTGTAGCATCACAACTTGAACAATGTGTTTCAGTTGCTTGAAGGAGAATTCTTAGGCAGTAGAGGAGCATTTTAAAAAGAAATATCACATCACTACTTCCTTAAATGGTACAGAGGATGATATTATGGAAAAACAGGGTCATTGATGACTGAGTTAAAAAGAAATTTAGAAATCAGATTGAATATGAAAAAATTTTAAAGATATTTTGAATTCATTTTGCTTTTGTTTTTACATAAACACAAGTGCTATGAAAATTCATATCTAAATTTAAGAACTTTTTCAGTAAGTATAAAAATTCTGAGAAAGGAAACAATTTTATTTTTGATAAGTAGTAAGCTTGAATACGATGTACATCACCAGCTGTCTGCTAAGAGATTGCAGAGACCTAAAGAACACTTATCCTTTTATATAGCTAAGCAGATAAAATCCATTACATGCATATTCTTAGGATAAGTAAGAAGTAGTGCTCAAGAAAGAGGACTTGACAGCAACTATTTGTCACACATAGTTCATTCTAAATTCGCTTGGTAATCAGGGTGATCATAAGGTATTAGCTAATTGCTTTATCCAAAGGAAAAATAAACTTATGTATTTTTATGATAGGAAGTAATTTAGCAACTTGGGGCTAGGTGACCCTCTGAAGTTAGGCTCCTATCGTCCTTGATGATCACACCTCAAAGAGATGGCTACTGGGTCCTTGAGAAAGATGGTTCTGAGTTGCTTGTTAGAGGCTTGTTTAGCGTTTCTTTTTTCTTAATTAAAAAAATTTAAATTTGCATGCCGATTATAATGATCTCATACAAAGGGACAAGTTAGGGCCGGAGAAAAGGGTAGTTGGGAGAGCAGAGTCTTTGAATAAGGAAGACAAATTGGGACCCAGTGCAGAAGTAGTTTGTTTTTCTTTTGATAGGAGCAGGAAAAGAGGAAGAGGAAGTAGTTCTCTTCTGAGTTTAGGGTGACTAACATTCAGGTTTGCCTGGGACTTAGAGAGTTCCCAGGACACCAGACTTCCAATGCTAAAACTGGCTAAGTCCTGAGCAAACGGGGATGGTTGGGTATTCTGCTGCTGCTTGTTTTTCCTTAACAAAGTGAAAAGGTTGATCATCTGCTGGGAATGGGGAGGGGATGACAGTTTAAGATAAAAGGAGAAGCTATATGAAGTAATTCTTTATCTTAAAGATGGAGGAGCAAATTCACTAGGTTATTGTGGTATGATTTCTGAGCTTTGTCTCCTAAGGGTCTACTGAAATTTATGAACATAATTTCAAAGTTCTTATGATTGTATTTCTTTACAGTCTTATTCAGCTATTCAGGTGGAGGTGCCATGTTAGGTGGAATGCTGGTTTTAATTATGATTTGACTATGATGGAGGAAGAGGGGAGCAAAGGAGGAGGCCACAGGCAAGGAAATGATTATAGTGATGGATCATCAAATCTCAGGATAGGTATAAGGAGTGGAGAAGAGAGGGTGAAGGACTGTTGGCAAAATGACTCCAACAGACTTTTAGAGTAAACTGGAATGATAGGAAGTAAAGAGAGTGGGATGCCTGAACCTGAGATTTTTGGGGTGGTATAGTTCCTGGTTATTGATATGATATGAGAATAGGGGCTGGCGTGGATGGCAGAAACAGTCATTGAGTATTGTAATGATCACACTATGGATGTGATTTTAGTGATTAAGGCAGGTTTTGGTGCTCCAGAAATATTCAGTTATTTTCTTTTCATATACTGTTGTTTTCTGTTTGTTGTTTTATTTTGTTTGATCAGTACCTTGGATTGAGGAGGAGGTGTTGTTCTCGAATGAAGATGGTTGTAAATAAATAAATTGGTGGATTATTTAAAATTTTGTTTAATCAGTACTTGTCTTTATCACATGGCTTGCTCCTGGAAACTTATAATTGGTTAAGTTTCAGACATTAACATCTAAAATGATGATCCACTTCCCATTAAGCTGTGTTAGTCCCAAATAAGTTCAGTGAGGACTTTGTGTCGTGCATGGTTATTGGTACTGTATTGCTTTGCTCACTGCAGTTTCCCTCTTTCTCTCTTTTTAGGACCGCAGCTGAATGCCCAGCTAGAAAGTTGGCTTTCACAAGTGCAGTCTACAAAAAGACCTGCTAGAGCCATTATTGCACCGTAAGTTTTAAGGGTCTTTACCCATAATCTTTCATGTGTTGATTATTAATAAAGGATGAATATCTATTGATTGAATTAAAAATTAAAAATCAAATGCTGTGTTGAAACGAAGACGTTATAGTCACTAAATTTCATGATTGCTGTGGCTTTCACTTTAACTCAAGGATAAAGGAATTGGCTATTTTCTCAGATGCAGAAGTTTCAAATTTTATTTTTGGTAATAAAACTGACTTTTAAAACAGTTAAACATTAGTTGAAACAGTTTTAAACATTAGGTAACCTTGGTGATTGCAATAGTATTTGGTATAAATGAGTAAGTTCTATTTTAAACATTAAGAAGATCTACTTTAATCACATAATTTTAAACTTACAAATAAAAGTATATTAAACATAATGTGGTGCAATATGGAATAGCAGCCAGGATTTTAGAGGATGGGTAGATTTTTTTTTAAATGAAGGCAGTCTATTGCCTATTAGAAGGCAATCTATTGTCTGTGTTAGAGGACTTTTTGAGAATTACAAGCTAACAAACACAGTTAACTGTTTGTTTGGTATGAATTCAGTTAATTTTGATTTGGTAAATGTTGGAGTTTCTGCTATTTCTCTCACAGCAGCATCTTTTATGTGGCTTCTCAAGTTCAGGTTGGTAACTTGATAAATAATAAATAGTGAAAATAATAATAGTAACCACTTATTAAACACTATGAGAATTAACAAGTAAATACACATACAGAACTTACATTAATGTTGGGCACATAATAAGTATTACATAAATGTTGCATATTTTATGTGCCAAACATTTAGTTAAATGAGATCTAACTTGATCTCATTTAAAAGATTCAGAAGTTGACTACACTACTTACCAACTGTGTGACATACAAGTTATTTAATCTCTTGTGCCTTTATCTTATTGGTAAAGTTAGAATCATGATATTACCTTAACGATTAAATGAGCTAATCTTTATAAAACTTTTAGCATAGTGACTTGCTGTTACTCATTTTGTCATTTGGCAGATGTTTATCAGGCTAAATGCTAGATGCTCTTCTTTGTGCTGCTCTTTGAATAAATTGAAATCACTACTCATAGTGCTTGCCTTTTAGTGTTTGGGGAATGCAGTCAGTAATAATAATTCTGTGTCAAGTGCTGTTGGGCGCTAAGAAAAATAAAGCAGATAAGAGGATTGAGAGTGACTGCATGGGTTGGGAGTTGCTAGTTTATATAGAATAATAAGAAAAACTCTCCCTGTTATGTAGCAATTGAGCCTAAATGATGTGAGAGAGGAGTTATGCAGATACCCAGGAAAGAGTTCAGGTTGAGAAGCAGCAAGGACAGAGGCTCTGGGACAGAATGTGCTTAGTGTGTTTGAGGAAAAGCAAGGCCAGTGTAGCTGGAGAGGCATGTGTGTGGGGAAGAGTAGTGGCTGAGATCGGCAGTGGGGGTTTGATTGTGAGGAGGCTTCGTGGGAGATCATAAAAGCTTTGGTTTTCATTCCAAGTTATATGGCAAGTAAGGAGAAGCTTTGAGCAGAAAAGTAATACCATCTGACTTAGGTTTGCAGAGGATTACTCTTGCTGAGGTCTGGACTTTTTGTTTTGTGGAGGAAAGGAATCTGTTTAGGAGGCTTATTACTCTAGTACCAAAAAGAGATGACATACTGGCTTTGGCTGGGAGCTAGTGGTGGAGGTGATGAGAAGCAGTATATTCTGGGTATTTTTGAAGGTAGGGCCAATAAAATAGAAGAAAAAGTCATAGATGGCTTAAGTTTTGGCTTGTGAAATTGAAAGGATGGAATTGTGTTTGTATTAATTAAAGGAAAAAACAAGGGTGGAGGTGGGGAGTGGAATTTTAAGTGTTTGTATAGTGTTTGTATAGAATCTATCATTTTATTCTCCCTGTGTTAATGTTGAGATGCCTACTAGGTATCCAGGTGGGGATTTCAAATGGGCAGCTAACTATGTGAATCTGGAGTACAGGGAAGAAGGGCTAGGCTGTGTTGGTGTATCACACTTAACACAGGTAAGTGTGTAACTTATTACACTTAAACTCTAATTGGACTGTAGTTGCCTAGGGAGTAAAATAGGAGAAGTTCAAAGACTAAGCCCTTAGGCAAGCCATCTTTATTTAGAGGTCAGGATGAAGATGAATATTTGCAAAGGAGATTTTGAAGGAGGACCAGGGAAGAAGGAGGAAAACCAAGAGTGAGTGATGTTTCTGGGAAGTAAAAGGATGAAAATGTGTCAGGGAGGAGAAGATGATCAGGTGTGTCAAATTCTGCCAGTAGGTCAAATAAGATGAAGACTGATAATTGATAATTGGATACTGTGGAGATTGCTGGTTATTTTAGTAAGAACAATTTCTGTGGAGTGTTAGGGATGAAAGCACAGTTGGAGTGGGTTCAAGAAAGAATCAAGGAGGGAAGTGAAGATAGTGAATATAGACAGTTTTTTTGGGGAGAAATTTTGCTATAAATCAAGGAAATAGGGCAATGGGAATATGGTATCAATTTAAAATGAGAATTTATTAAAGTGTTTATAATGTTGATGACACAGTCCAGTAGAGAAAAATTGATGCAAGGATAAGTTGGGAAGTTTGTATAAATGAGATCCTTGGTTGGGTGAGAAACGATGGATTAGTAATCATCTTTTTATGTAGTATCTCATAATATATGTCCTATTGTCATTCCCATTTCTATGCTGATATTTGACTATTATGGTATACTAACTTCCTAGATAAAACCTGTTCTAAATGTGTGAACTGAACTGAGTCAACATAAACTTAAAATGAGGTTAGTTATTCATGAAAAACTAGCTATGCTTGTTTCCTTCTTGTAGTTAGTTTTAAGTTGAAATCTTTGGAAGTGGCCTGGAAAATGAGATATTTGGGCCTGAGTTACAAATACTTTGATTTGTAAAAGATTTCTAAGTTACCTGAGGTTTCAAAATGAATATTGAAAATAGTTTTGGCTTTGGTGTGCATGTTTCTGCCGTATGGTGACTTTGTAGTTAATGCTTATATGTAAATAATTTCTACTTTGTTAGTATATGAAAACTTTAAATATAGTTAAGTTCATCTTATTATATGGTTTCCAGAGGTAACCTTTCCAGAGTTACCTTTTTTTTTTTTAAGATAGAAAAGCAAATACAAATATTTTATTGTTAAATAGGCACAAAGGGCTTTTCAGGTGGCTCAGTTGCAAAGAATCTGCCTGCCAATGCAGGAGACACAGGAGACTTGGGTTTGATCCCTGGGTTGGGAAGATCCCCTGGAGGAGTAAATGGCAACCTGCTTCAGTATTCTTGCTGAAAAAATCTCACGGACAGAAGAGCATGGCTATGGCTAAAGTCTATGGGGTCAGAGTCGGACATGACACAGACACAAAAAGGTCTTTGTAAGAACATACTTACATAGTAGTTAGACAACTTAAAATTTTAAGATTTCTGTATTTATTTAAAATCAAAAACATATTTTTAAAATTTTAGAAATTCCAGCTCTCTGGGACCACCTTTTCTTAGACTGTGCCTTCATAGGAATAAATCATACAAGGGGAACCTTAAAAAAACAAACCCAGAACCTAAGTAGCACAGTTTCAAAAATGCTTAAACATTTGGTCCTTTTTATGTTGATGTAGATTAAATAATGTCATTTATTATTGACATTATTAGAAGAATAAATATTGACATGTAAACTAACTGTTGATCAGTCTTAAAGAATTCTAATCTGTATGACATATAAGCAGGCACATTTGGGAGAGGGATTCAAAAGAATTTGACTAAAAATATCCTTTGATTGAAACAGAACTACAGGTTACTTAAGGCACAGGAGACAGTATGTGGCCCAGGGATATATATTGAAATGATCTCATGAACTAGGAGTTCCAAAAGCCATGACTGCCAGATACTTTGATGCCAGAATTGTTTATCTTGCAGTATTCTTGAATAACTCAGCAACCCTTAAAATGGAGCTGTACAGGTATGCATCACTTAAGAAACCTCTTACTGAATATAAAAATATAAGCTGATGACTGTGGAAGGGAATTTACATGATGAAACTGTATTTTGCTGTAAAGCATAGATCCTGCCTCCAGTGCAGGAGACATAAGAGACTCGGGCTCAACCCCTGAGTCAGGAAGATCCCCTGGAGGAGGGCATGGCAACCCACTCCAGTGTTCTTTCCTGGAGAATCCCAGGGCAGAGGAGCCTGGTGGACTACAGTCCATAGGGTTGCAAAGAGTCTGGCACTACTGAAGTGACTTAGCACGCATGCACAGACAATGACTATTGAAGGCTCCCACCAGACATTTACAATAGAGTTTGAATTTTTTTTTTTTAATTTTTTGGCTACACAACATGGCATATTATACATTGACAGCACAGAGTCTTACCCACTAGACCACCAGAAAAGTCTGTTAGAGTTTGATTTCTTAGTGGCTAATCTAGTAGGAATAGTATGGAATAAAGGATACTTTTACTTTTCATTCTGTACCTTTTTTCATTGTTTGACTTTCTCTTTTTTCTTTTTTTTACTCTGGACATGTATTACCTTTAGTGTAAAAACCAGTTTGAAAAATTTGAAAGCCAAGAAACATTTATATAGAAGACCAGGTTGTATATAGTGAAGCATACCTATAGCACTCTACCAGTGTATATCATGAGACAGTGAATCTTAATAAATTATCTAGTTAATTTAATTTCCTAGAGATATGCAGTCCTTGGTAATATTAAGTGGCAGATTATTCATGGCAGCATCTCAAATCATATATACGCCAGCAGTAAAAGAAACTCAACATGCAACATTGTGGTTAGTTTATTCTTACTTGACTTTTTAGCTCATAACACTGTTTACTTAATATTTGTGAGGTTCCAATTATAAAAATAAAATATCCTGAATAGTGGCTGTTTTACTTGGATATTTTTTGGGTATAACAATCTACTGATATTTTTTATTGAAGCTGGAATCTTTAGGGCCATGGAGCCGTGCCTATGAAAGAAAAGAATACAAA